GAAAGAAGACTGAATTTTACTCCAAACTTTTATTTAATATTTACATAAGCTGCACCACGTGTTATCTACCATCCTTAAAACCTATCGATATGCTTTTATCTTAGTTAATTTATATCAATCTACAGCGTTTCCGTTCGTAAAATGTTTAAAACACAAGTATATCACAATTATTTGCTTTTGATAGCTGTATCACAGACGGGAAAAATCGATCCATTTAACTCGAAATTTCACTCCATTTAATTCCAATCTCTGCTGACTAACCTGTTGCACACAGAACAAAAAGCCAAGCATGTGTCCGATTTACACTTGCCATGTAAACATTTTACATTTTAAAAATCCCTTCGGTATATAAAGTATTCAATTTATTTTGATTAAAATGAATATATGATATCAACATAATGAAACAAATGTGTCTTTGAAATTATTTTTTAACATACTACAAATTCTGTAGCAACAATAGCCAAAAAGGATTGGCATCTGTTAATTTGTTCTGTTTTACTTCTTGATATGGACAAGAACTTTCTTACTATTGTAATAGCCGCAAGGTATGCCATGACAGTTACCTCTCAGGCGAATAGACAAAATGTTGAGATTGCACTGTGAACTGATAATTAATAATCAATCAATAGACGAGGTTCTATAATTAGCATTGTGAGGGTGTTAGTGTCTTCATAAATGTACTATTTGTATGACTTTAAAAAGAAATAAATTAATTGATAAATGGATTAATGATTGATAAAGGAAAGTATCCTTGCTATTTTTCCTTTATTCAGTATAAATTACTTTATTCGAGTTTATATATCAATATCATCTAATTGGTTTATTTCTTACTAAATTACATGTACCAATACGGAAAACAGTTAATAATGACAGAAATATATATCTTGTATAATACGTATTTCCCCTGCCTTCGTGCAAGCAGACAATCGTATCGGCACTTGTGAAAATATATATGACTGTATGAGCATGAAAAATAACATCTCTAGGAGAAGGAAGTGATTGGGAAATATTGTTCAGAAACTGTCTCCGGATCGATAAAAGCCAACCTCGTTCTTTATTCTTAAAAGGCGGTCTTGAAATAACACCACGAAATAACTACAGCATGTACACGAAAACAATTTCCATCAAAATTTGCTCCTTGTTTTCACACAAATAAACAATGTCTTTATGTAGGTGTTTAGAATTGTGAAAGATCCCAAATAATTATATCAAGTAAGAGTTTTGTTAAAGAAACGTGTCAGCAATAATCAGAGTTTGGTGACTGCATGTCATATCATCTTATACTGCGACAAAGTTAATATGTAAGATAAGATAAGTCAGATGTTTCATCATAATGTATCTGCCTGTGTTAATTTAGTACTGACATCTACTGAGAACAATCATGTATTGACCAGTGGCCAGAGACATTCTATCGTTACTGATCTACTATACATGTATTAGTTCGTTTACTGATTATATAAGTCATTACCTGGAGCCTATCTAAGAAGTTTGTATGGTGGTCAGTGTAACTTTATCTTGTTGTAAACAGCCGAATCTATTGCCATTTATGTGTGCAAGACCTTGTCGACAACTCATATGTATACTTCAATCCATGTTTACCTGTTAGTTAATGTATATTAGTACTTCATCAGTTAATTAACATGGCTAGTATAAATACCATCACCTTTCTAGCCAGTATCGGTTCCTGACGGTCGGACAGGAGAGAGGCTAGTCTCCACTGGCGGGACCCCAGCTCACTCGGGCTTTTGCCCGAGCAAGGACATCTCAACTCTAGACCAAATTTATGAAATTTAACACGTTATCATTTTACATATAAAAATTGTCAAGGTTATACACAACCATTTTCATGAATATGAGATATAAGATCATTTAAAATGAACATCAAGCTCATAGGCATACTTCGACCTGGTGCTACCTTCATGAGAATTAAGACAACGCATACAGAAAATACCATAAGTGTATGTTATTGTTTGCATTTTGTTACGATGAAGTTCTAATGATTTAAACTATTGATTAAAATAATAACCTGCTGTTCTGCCACAGTGTAAGTATAGATAGATATGGTTTATGTTACATATACTCTACATGTTACAGGTCAAAACTGGTACCCAAAATGTCCGTGCAAATGTCCGCCGCATGGGGGCTTTCATCATAAGACATCTTGGATCAGTCATAAGGGTCACGGTGGTGGCTTCCATGGCAAGGGTTATCCCATTGCATCTGGAAAGTGGTGATGAAATGCGAAGAGAAGTGGACAGACAGTCGTCTAACACTCCAAAATTGATTCTCATACGAGTATTCAACTTAAATATTAAATATCTTAAATGGTATTTTGTTTTTGTTTTCATTTGTAGAATACTTCTAGAAATTACTATTTTTTCACTCATGCAACATTACTGATATTCGGGTTTGTATATTTATTATCAGAGAACCAGATAATATTGCAATCATATTAATGTTTGCGCTCTCAAAGCACCAAAATTAACTTCAACATTTTAGTACTGGCGATTATGATTCAAGCCTTAAGAACAAAGTTCAAATTATGCGTAAATCGCACTAATATGAACATTGAAATAAAACATAGTTGTCTTGATTTTAATAAATTCAGATATTACAAAGTGTTGCATAAGGCAACATTTAATGTATAAAGACGGCAAATGACAAAATAAATATTGGGTGATTTGCAAATTTCCTGGAATACGACCACAAATAAAAAATATCTATATATCAAACAAAATATTAACACGCTTAGGACAACACGTGGTTTTTTTACATTCAGGGCGCTCTAAACTCATTGCAAGCGTAATTTGTAATCTTCCAAAAGATTCTTACAAATTACAATTATCAAGATATTAACACGTATAGACATATGGTCTTTCACAATAAAGGAGTTCTCAACTTATTATAACTTTTATTTGTAATCATCTAAGCGATTCTGACAAATGGCAACTGAAATTTTACAAACGCCCTTCTTAATTGACTGCAATGAGCTAAAACATGATAATTTCACACTTTTAATCCAAACTCTACACGTATCGAAATTCGAATAACAATTGTCTTTGAAAACAAAATATTTTAGAAATACAGTTTATATATAATAAAGTTACATGTTGCATCGTCTTGCAACTCCGTCAGTGTCCGAGATGGTAATAAAATCACATTACTTTTTCGGCTGTAGAACAATACACAACAAGGTGGAAAGGAATGTTACGAGATGGCGATACGATACAATTAAAACCAGTAAAAAGGATGGACTTTCATACCAACAATTAGGCGACGACTATGTTCTATTCTATAAAAATCAATTCGACTACGTTTTCTTTAAAAACCTTTCCATATAGGTTCAAGAGTATGTGTGTCCCCTCGTCCCAGTTATGTTCCCGCCGCTTCCTCTACCCAAAACTTGAACAGGCTTATACAACTTTAATATAATGTAACGACTAAAAATACTGTGATTCTAATGTCATCTCGTACACTGTATACCTCAGGACAAATACTCGTCATAGTAATCATCTGTCTGAATTTGACACTGTAGTCACCGAAACGTCGCACATATTTTCCCAACTGGTTGTGATATAATGAAAACTCGAGATACTCAGTAGTACATTTGTGTATACATATGTCTACGCAATGCAGTTACTCATTGTATCTTTTTTCTGTAATTTTAAAACATTATCCCGTTACCTTAATATAAAAGATAAATCTGGACAGACTATGTTATGAAAACACATGATTTACAAATATGTTACACAAATTGAAATAAAATCCTTGTTTTTACTATAAAGTTTATAAATAATCATGCAGCATGTGTGTGGACAACTGTTCCCGTTTGGGCACTGGTCATCAAAGTCTACCCTTATAATACACATGGTTTCTATTAAAGGTTACTCTAGGGAATTCGACCCCCTATTTTCTTTTCTATAAACGTTCATTTTCGTTTTGAAAATATTTACTGTATTTAAATGTCGTTGACAACATAAAAAATCTTGGTTACGGAGAAATAAAAAAAAACACTCTACACTGTTCCCAATTTATTAAAAAAGAAAAATAATTTCACAATGTCAAAATTCCTTCCATCCTTTCTCCGCAGAATGGTGAACAAACGTGCATTGGTAAAAAATAGCATTTATCCGTCTTTATCTCAGCTATAACAGAACATCCATGCCGACCCCATTTTTAGGATATTAAAGATTCATTGCCATCAAACAAGTACTATTTTATTCAATAATTTGTTAGGAACAACACTTTGTAAATTATTATCCAGGATAATTTTCCTAATATGATTTCACCCTCATGACAGCAAAACATTCTGTAATAAGGTATCTTTCCGGAACTATGATGAATAAGCAAACATTTTTCGAAAGTCTGTTTATTTAAATGAAATGATTTCAGAACGTTGTGAAATCTCTATGTTTCTTTTGGCTAGAAGGTATGATACGATATGATCACTATCACAGAAGTCCATGTTGATACAATATATATATCAAAGACAACAATCACCGTTTAAGATATATGAGAGCAGTTTGATTGTTTACACTTTTGTTTGCACTATAAAACAATAAAATACAGACACGGGTTGAATTAGAAATTACTGGTCTGAAAGCAAAGTAACAGTAACAGAATACTGTACAGTATAGTTACTGTGTGTGGTTTCGTGACTGATCGAACTCGCCGTGGCAAATCTATCTGAGAAAAACAGGCGGTTGAACCGATCGATACAATTCATTTGTACATACATGCATTGATGAGAGCTAGCCTAACCAATGCTGGTACCGTTAGGACCAGGCAGAGATCTGCATGCAGGACATTTCACTTTTCGTCTGAGTTAGAAAACCAGAATAAAGGGTTGTACTTAAATAACAATAATCCCATGTATCTTAAGTCTATTTAATGGTAAGCTGCTCATACGCCGCTGACTTTAAATTTATTATATACGTTTCAGTATACGAGCAGACGACACAATGTTCTGACTGCACTACCAGACGACGACATGCTCTAGCGTGGGGTGTGTTGATTACAGTTAAGTCCTTCTCACACTTCTCCGGACCAGGGTGATGCTGCACATACAACGGAAGGAAGACAAACTAAAACGCATATTGGATTTGTGTCAATGGATGAACAAGGCGATTCAATTCTAAAGATGGCTGAATCAGAAGGTAAGGCGACTGTCGGTCGATCGGCAGGTATAAATAACATCTGACTAAAATTGTACAAGCTTGATCACTTTCAACTCGAGACATTTTGAGACATTTGAGTATTTTGTTTGTAGATTATTCGAATGGAATCATCATAGACGTGTCGAGTTATTTCCCAACTGTTTTACAGCATCATCTGCATAATTACATGGGTCACAATTCACTGCCACTTTAAGCAGAATTACGGTATTATTTACACTTCGGAATTTGTCGTTGTTGACAGTCTGTCATTCAAAATACATGGGTTATTTCTACAAACGAGAGTCGCGTCCCCTTGTTACGTTTGACTGCCAATACTGTGGAAGTTCATGCAGCAATCCAATCAATAACCATTGTGTGACAAACTACATTAAGCTTTTTGTGCAGTTATTCCCCCGGGTTATATCTGAAATCATGTCTGAAACGAGGATTTTTACTTTCATGTCATCTCTCGTCATGTTGTGATAGTTCGGCTAGCTTCACTATATGATATTGAATTATTGTGACTTTTTCCTTCTTCCCTGTGGAATAAATTGCTCTACAGCATTTGGAGATGTTTCTATGTCATTTTCTGACATAAGAAATAATGCGACATTTTTGTATCTTTACGTAGATTATTAGGTACTGCTTTTTTTGACGATAATTTCTAATACTTTTTGTAACAGATACATAGTTAATCGTTCATGGTTATTCACAAGATTAGTCATATGTTTTTTTTATTATTATTTTTTTATTTAAAAAGTAAAATAATAATAAAATGAACTTGAGCGAGAAACTGGACGGCATGCGACGGGCCTCTGATATCTTGTTCAGTGATGAAGCAATCGGCAAGAAGGAACCGTCTCAAAGAACCAAACAGTAAAAAAATAAATATCATTCTGTCCCATAAAAAACAGCACACAACTGTACATGTCTGGATGCACGATAATAGCGATACCTTCTAGAAGAGGAAAGACTACTTTGGTTCGAGACTCTGTCTTCTGATAATCAATTAGATAAGCTTGCACTGAAGACGTGATTCACGCGGAAAGGAACAGAATTAGTCAATTTATTGGAATAAAATTAATGCCATCTTAACAACACCACAAAAGATAGTTGTGTATCACGTGCAGTTTAGGTCGAAACTACTTTTGATTTTTTACACATGGACATATAAAAATAAAAGTGTCTGTATATATTGAAACGTTAATGTTTAGCGCAAAGTAAAAAATATACACCAAATGTTTCCTGCTTGGAACCAGGACGTACTAGGGCCTAGTGTTTTAAAGATGTAACATGTTAAACAAACTGGAATTTTTTATTTCAATTATTTGTTTAATGTAAATGTTTATCACAATTGTTAATACTGTACAAACATTTTGAAAACGGAAACTGGTGTACCAAGGATAGTTTATCTATCAAATACACACTCGGTATGAAGGCTAACATTCAAGTGTACAAATATAATTTTACGCCCAGAACACCCATCGCCTACAGGAGATCGAGGAAGTTGATTTCCGGTGACAAGTACACTTTAGTCTTTGACCGCCGAGCTGCTTCCTTGTGCCTCTGCGGTCAAAGTGTACTTGTCACTGGAAGTACATAATATACGTATATTTTAATTCTCTAGTCGCATTCTTAAATACTTTAAACCTATCAGATGTAAAACGTAAAATGTTCAGCCGTTTTGATGAGCTACTTGAAATCATAATCGCGTGCGCTTAACAATAGTTGTCAACGCCTTTTTCTGTTTACATATAACTGTAACATATTTAAAACATTTTCATATAGAAATTAAAAATTCGCTGGTACTTAAGTCCTACGACGTTAAATCAATGTGAACGCCACATATACACCTATATACATCAGAGAAATAAAACAAGTAAAAATAAAGAATAATTTTACAGTGTATAAGGATATATTAAAATAATGATTGAAGTGTTGAGATAAATATATCATGTTGTTTTGTAAAACAACTTAAAAATATATAATCTGTTTGGCGAATCGATCATTACCGCTGACACTGAGATGTAAGAGCTCCCTCCCTTTTACCACCCGGAGCAGAGTTACCTCCCCTCGTTACCTGTTGGCCGTTGCTATACGATGTGAAGTGACCGTGATTTCGAAAGGACTGAATACATGTGTAACACTTAAAGAAAACTGACTTAATTATAGGATTTTGATTATAATTTCAATTATAGGATTATAATTAATACACCCCAGCACTGTCTCGAAAAAAGTATCCGTTTTTTTATTAAGATAGATAGAAAAGTTAAAAGAGCTAAACCCTTGGATTTCGAATATGGATTTTAAGCTTCTAACATGCTGTTCGCCTGATAATCCACATCATTCTGTTTAGAAATAGAAGTAATCAGCATTCGATACCAAACTGTTATCTCAATTGTGCATATAGTCGAAAATCAATGAAATTCGTCTCTTAAAATACGTCAGAGAACGTTAGCCGTAGGCTGAATGGATACACAAATATCGATAAGATTTCGTGCGACAGATATGTGGATTCTCTGAGCACAGTCGAGAAAAGCTTTCAGGACAGACGGTCGCTCATAAACTTGACGTAAAACCTACAGCGACATATTATTTGTGGTTTGTTACCATTAAAATGATCATAAAAAAAATCTATGTATCCCTATGACAACACCAATTGGTTTAAGTTTATTTGAAACCCGCTCCCGGCTACATAATGTACATATATGTATGTAAAACTACCTTACATACCGTCACCGCCTAACTTTGTTCCATTTCAATAGATATAAAGACCATTATCTTTATGCATGTATGTAATATATACTTGTGACGAAATCAATCGGTGTTAGAAATGTGCGTTTTTTCACAATTCCATGAATAAGTAAAATTGAACAAGAACTTTTCAAAATGAAAAAGAGAAAGATTTTACGATTGAATAATTATATTTATCTCTTTTAATTTACGAAAATGATATTTAACGATGAAATTATTTACCAAAATACCTGATCTACAGGATACACCGCATTTAAAGCACGATATTTCTTATTAAGATGACTTGCTGTACCATAATTATCTAATCTCCTTTTGTAGAGATCGTAATGACGGCTGCCAAGAGAGATGGGAAAGCTATCATGAGACTAGAACGGACATTCACGAGTGAGATTGACCATAGTAAAGTCCATCACGTAGCTGGAGGACCTTACAAAGGCATTCTTATCAACAAAACGTCGGCAGGTGAGTCCAATATATTGATACTTATTCATTCAATCGAGTGTTCTTCACAGTTTGAAATAAGATATTGATAAAAAGGTATTTATGAAATATGATGTCAGGTCCTCGAGTACAAACTTATGTTGATAATTGTTTGGCCTTTGTTGGGTTTTTATCGTTAAATTGACAAAAGTTAACATACTAAAATACATCTGTTTATATAACGGATATTTTTGAAGCAAATGTAAGTATGTATATGGCAAAAAGAAAGCTTCTGAAAGTGAACATTACACTGTATCTGTTTAATAACTTGCGCTATCCTGTTAACAGGTCTAGTAGACGTAGGACCAGCTGAGGGCAGGTTGGAGTTCCTAGCTTACCTTGTTAACGAAGGCAAACACAATGAGTGTCTACAGGTACTGTAAGTTACTACAATGACGTCATCGAATGGAAATAATATACCGATATGCATTGATTAAAATAATATGGATATACATCGATGTCGAGCATATTAACTCAGGTCAAACCTGTTTAGCAATCAAATAAATAAATGTAGAACACAGAAAAATGATTTTCGATGTATTTCGGCATTCATTGATTTGTTTGGTGACGACTAGAAACTTACCAAAGGGTTTTCACGACACCGGAAATTGGTACTAAGCAATAAGTGTGCGAGAGGCTGATCTAAAAAATACTCATCTTGGTAAATTACAGTTTGAGTGATACCTATATCCGGTGTCATGAAGACATATGAATGACTCGGCTATCAATGTTACGTAAAACAAGGATTTTAGAGCAGCTAGAAATACATTGTATCAATGTTTGGAAAATATCAAAATATGATACGTACTTGTAACAAGGATTGACCAGATAGAAGTGGAAGTTTACGCTTCCGAAATATGCGGTTGTTTGACTTGTTTCATTCTGATAGGATCACTGGACACTTAAGTTCTGGTTCCGTGGTACGGAAGACGGATTGGTGAAGAAAAATACCTATACTGACTATTTCCAGGAACTCATGGACCCAGCGGACTTTCCAAAAGGTAAGGATGAAGTCACAAGAACTGGCCACAATCTATTTTCTACAGAATTAGCTGCAAATAGGAAAACGTTTGACGGGTACCAGTGCAACTAAGGGTTTTCTCATTAGATGACACCTACTAGTGCTGTCTTTGGTTGGCAGTTATTGATTTTCAAAACTGTGTCCAGATCTATAATAAGTATTTAGGTGTTACGCTCATTATCGCTTTCTTCACCTCTGGAACATGTCATGGCAAAATTGAAGGTTCTATGTGCGGACAACACAAGTTTGATCCTTTGATATACATGAAAACGAATCTCGCAGTCATATAACGGTAAGTTGTACCGGCTTTGAAGTTGAGTGTCCCTTCTTTGTAATCTTCAATGCATCGTGTCAGTCTGTGATTGGATTCTTATTCTCCTGAAACCTGCTCTAGAACAATCACATTTCTTCGCCTGTGTCTTTAATTTTGTCAGGAATTGTTACAGGGGTGCAGAGAGCGAAAGTGATGATAACCTCGGAGTACCAAGGAGGATTTAAAGCTTGATATCGCAACGCCGTTATTATATTTTGTTATATTTGATTTGTAGATTACGTATGTTTCATCAAGAAAGCACTTGTACTGTTGAGGGGATACTCCGTTATTAAGAGAGTAGAGCTTCAAGCTCAACAGACAAATTGCCCTTCTCCCGAAGATGTCATTCCCCCCATACGTAAGTGATTTATTTACATAACTATTCACGAGCTAAATTTAATGTAGAACATACAAAAATAATGTTTGTATATACATGTATGTTTAGGATCTTAAGTGAGAAGAGGGGGTTGATTCATGAATTTCATGAAATCTCGTATGAAATGAAAATGATATTAAGAATTTCTTACTACATAACTCAGCTACATTTTGAAAGCTTTAACGCCTAAATATGCACAATATTCAATATGCGCAATTTTCAATTCATGAGGTAACGTCATTGTCCTATTTATGACAGCATTATCGATTTCTGACTGGCAGAGCCAATTAAAAAATCCCAAGATTAAATTACACTAATGACATATGTAAAAATATTACGTAGGCCGATTTATTAAATGACATGCATATTATTTGATTTTATGCTATTTTTCGTGAAAAGGAATATCTGTAAAAGGATTGAATCAAAATAGTATATGTTGCGAAAACTGTACAAAAGTCGTTTCAATACAATTAAGAATTAGGCATACCAGACTCAATGATGACATAAACAGCTTCATACAACCGTTCTTTTATGAATCTTCAGTGATGCAAATTTTGAAATCAAGGAGGCGACCGCGGAAAATCCAAAACGGAATGTCAAAATCAAAATGTGACGGTTCAGACCCCTCCCCTAGTTTTATTGAATTTGGGTTTGGATGATGATTCTGTTAACATGTCGGTATTTTCTTGTTGTTTATGCACCACAACATTGCGTGACGGTGATGATACAAGACGTAGAAACAATACCGTATATCTTGGTTCATTTGTTTTACAGGAAGTTTTACCACAGTGTTTACCCCAGCAACGAACTCCTTCCGCTTCATACCGGAAGTGTGCATCAAAAAGAAATCTTTCATAACTTTCAAAGTTAAGGCGGCATGCGATGTACGTGTTGCATTGTCCTCAATTTATGGTGACGTAAACCGCAAAGCTCACGAAATTGTAATCGGTGCTGAGGGAAACACCAAATCATGCATCAGGGAATGTACCAATGGCACTGTCCGGACAGAAAGCATGACGATGAATATACTCAGTAACGAGAACTTCCGGTACTTCTGGATAAATTGGGCAAATCACCATTTAGAGGTAGGGCGTGGTGCTCAATATGGATATGGAAGGTTCCTTCATTTGCACGTGCTCCCTAAGCGTCAGTTCAAGGTCAATTGCCTCGCTGTTGCTACCAGCAAATCAACTACGGGACATTGGGAATTTGCTGAACTTTTAGGTAAGTAGCGATATCAATGCAGGCAAAGACAGTTTTCTTCTGTTATTATGATAGTGAATATTAGAACTGTTTCTATTTGAAGATGAAATAAAATGTTTTCCTCTGTACACCAAAAGTGCTTGTATAAGTGCTATATATGGAGAATGCAACTTCTTTATCTTCCCGAAAAAAGTACAAGGTAGGAAATGACACCTGTAATTACATATATCAGATCAAACAAAATATAAACTTCATTTGCAGCTGATCACAAAGAAGAAGGTAAATCCTTATGTGTTACAGATGCAATGTACTTGAGAGCATGTTGCAAACTCTAGATCTGTACATATTGAAGCATGGGGTATCTGTAATACCGAAATCCATACATGGTAGTTTCTTGCTTTGTTGTAATAAACAAGTAACCGAGCGTTTTTGCACCTAATCAAAGGCTAACTGTGAAACAGCCTTCTATCTGTAGTATTTCAGTACGACCCCTTAGATTTCGGGGCCAAATATCAGCCTACTCCTTCCTGACTGATTGTTAATAAATCTGGTACCTCTCTCCAATATATGTATTGTTTCAAACACGATTGCATTAAACTTTTCTGTTTTACATAGTCGTTCCTTATCTATCTTACGTATGCTTCCAGTCCCTGCTCTTGCTATCTTTTCTATCTTCCTGTTATTTCCCAAGGCACAGACGCATCCATGTGCGGACTTATACAACCTGATTGCAGATATAGCCTACTAATGTATCCTTGTTTTATTGCTTATGGGATATTTTTCTTATCTCACTCAAAACCGTTAAATGGAGGTATTCATTCAATGGAATGGAATTTATGCTCATTTTAATAAGATTTTTCAAGATAACCGCCGACGTTTTTTTCGTCCAACAAAAAATATCACCAAACTTAATTTTCCATCGTCAATTAAAATATTTTATCACAAAATGCGACTCTGAGAACCGCTGGCGTGAGCCCTATATTTCTTAAGTTCCAATTTGTATTCGCATTAGCCGATGTTATTTACATTGTATATCTAATAATACAACGAGGCATACTGTTTTTTCCTTGTATTATGGCACACCACTGCTTGTACTCAAGAGATATGTAACAAACCACCAGATAACTGTAGCACTTTATACATGTAATAATGATTTGTATCAAGTTCAGGTTTTGAATACGACCAAAAAAATCAATAGCTTCCATAAACTATCGATATACATCTTCTGTTACCATTAAAGTACAGTGAGATATTGATTTTTTATTCCATGATTGATACATACATGTAGTGTATTGTGTATCGATAAATAACCCGTGCTTCTGGCGGATTTGTTTCAGACCCGGAAGTCGAAGTTGGCAGAATCGCTAAAAGGAAACGGATCAGGGATCAGTATATGTGGCTCTCAAGGAAATACCGGATGTTGCATTTTCTTGAGGACGCTTTTCCAAACGTCGTCAAAGTGGAAGATCTTGTCAGGTAAATCAAAGTCACGTGGTTCATTTTTCTCTTAGTGACTCAATAGGAGGGGCATCGAACCAGACAACTTCAGTTTAAAATTCGTGCTTTGTGGTTCGATCTCTACCTTGGGATTATATATAAATATTTTTTTCAAGTTGCTTATATTATAGACATAGCACTTTACTCTTAACTGCTCTGGCCTACCAAAGACATGACGTTCAGCAGCCACCATCTACTACAAACAGCGACTTAAAACAATGTTGTTTTTTTACTATTGTTTAATAAATTTATGATATAAAAACACACAAAAATATATTCAGTACCTTATTAATCATTATTTGTTACTTTTTTCAGCAAGTGTAAGATGAAAGTTTCTGACCTCTTCGTCATTGCTGTTGTGCTGGCGGAACTTCAGGAACGTGGTCTAGTTAAAGAGGTGATTGAAGGACACTGGATGCGAAATCACGGAGGAGGAGCCACACAAACAGAGGACGGTAAGTAACAACGCTTACATAAATCGGTGACACATACCATTGAAATCAAGAGCGTAGAAGACCAAGAAAAGACCACAGTGTTTGTTAGATTTTGTGAATTTCCTTGTGCAATAAATAACTTTTTTTTGTTCGTTATCAAAATGCCGTTTTTAAAATACAGAATTTAGAAAAATGACGTGTCGGACTTTTATTTTATTGACAGAGGTAAAACTTGTGAAGGTAATGCCGGTGCTCAGTTCGAGAGACCAGCCGACCATCGCCATCGTCACAACCCTGTTCTGTGAAAAACTCGCTGTGGACGCCATGATTGAAGACAAGACCACATTCGTCAAGTGTAAAACGGAAGGTAAGATCATAAACCATTGCAGTATTTTTGAATGGCTGTAGTAACCATGAATGCGGCTGATTGATTTCGTGTTTTACTCAATCCCAGTCCTGGGTCCTGTCGTTTCTGGCTCAGAACAACAAATTCGCAGTTGTCAATTTATGATCTCACAAACACTTGGAACGATTTACAGCCAAAACAGCGTCCAATCTGGAAAACGCTTTGGTACCAAACTTGTGTTTAAATGCAGTAATTAATTTTCATTTTTATGTTTCAATGACGTGAGAGATCGTTGACATATAAATAAAAGGATGGATTTGATTCATTGTACGTTAAGGAGTCACAGGATAACAAAACACAGCATTATTTGTTTTCTTAATCAATCTCTCTTTCCTTTGAAAACAATATTATCTAAACAAACAACGAACTGAATTTGTATTAAGCTTATAGCATAAAAAGCTCAAATAAATTTTGCGGATGGAAATGAATTCGGATGCAGGTTCTCTAATGCAGGAACGATAACTCTTACAATACAACGTTCTTTTTTTATTGATTGAATTTCAGTTTCTGAATATCAAAAAAATTGTTATAAAAATAACAAAGACAAGTTTCGAAACATCAAATTTATATTTCTTCATGATTTCATTTTAAAGTTATAGATTTGCTGTTACTATGTGTAAATTCTTAATCTGTTTAACGAGAAATCGGACACAGAACAGTCTGTATATCTTATCTAATTCAATTGTTGTACAGCAAGACATTGCCGTATAGGTGAGATCACGTATTGGGTACAGTTACAGTAGTCTGTATATCAGTTTTTTTGTCTGAAGTTAACACGTTGTATTATTTAACACACAGAATTTTTTAGTTTGGTATATACACGTGCATGGTAGCTAGTTCAACATACACATTAAGATAATCATAAAATCTTTTCTTTGTTTTTGTCGTCTTTTCAATGAAACTTTGGTAGCTTATGGGCAGTTAGTTTTAGATATCTTGTTATAATCTGTACATGTATATATCGTTCGTCTTGATATTAAAAAGGTAACTAACTCAGTTTGCTGTAAACCTGTTTACCTCATTTTAGTTTATTGGCATCGATCAAAAAGTTCGGAGATCATTCGCAACATTGGAATCATGATTTTATTAACTGTAAGAGCACCTTCCATCTGTGTTATAACATTCGTTTTGGATTTGTTTTTCTTCAGTCGCCTCTTAGCACTTTAGGCCCCCTAGCACTATTGACGAGTTTAAAAAGCATGAAGCAGTTTAACATTGTATTAGAAGGCAATATTCATTGATGTATACGATCCAATGTAAAGTCTAACTTATGGAACTGATTTGGCAACGTGTATATTTTTGGTTTGTTTTAAAGTTTCCCTCTTTATGTTGAATCAAATATTCATTTAAAACTTTTACAGATTTTGTAAATGCAGGATAATGATATCCTCCAACCACACACTAATTATTTAATAATTCTCTAGTCTGGTTAAATGCATCAGCAAACGTCCGGTCTAATAAGACTATTGTTTAACCGGCATCTTCCTCTACCCTTGCACCTTTTCGGTGTATATTTCCGTAGGTGAATCACAGGTGTACACAACCGGACGGATCGGTAAACATCGGGTGGTATCCACGAAGCTTCCCCGTACTCCAGGAGATGTCGAGGCCTCAAACATAGCAGCCGGAAACTCTGTCACTCGCCTCCTGGGTAATTACAACTGGCCCTTACTCATATGTAGACCTTTATACTCAAGAAAGTTACGAGTGATGCTAATAACTGAACATTATTTCTTGCACTGCAATGAAAAAGCAGGCGACGTGATCTTTGGTCTTGAGCCTACAAATGAGAGTTATCCCCCTTCACACGTAAGCGCACATGAACATCAAAAATCAATAAAATTGAAATCCTACGATTCAATCGAACACACATACGTGTAAATTTGTGTTTTCTTTGAACCTGAACACGTCTTTTTGTATAATATGATGATGTATTCAAAATGTTTTAGTATTGAGAATGAAATAATACGTTGATTTTGAAGAATTCTTCTCTGTATCAATTCACAGGAACCTTTAGTAAAGTAGAACATGTGTTCCTGGTTGGAGTTGGAGGTGGAGTATCGAAACAGCACGACCCTGATGACCCCGTGACGTCAGATGACCATGTGACCTTGGGTGACGTAGTTGTTTCCATGCCTTCTAATGGAACCAATGCTATGTACACAAAATGTTTCATAAGAGAAAATATTGGGGAAGAGAGTCTCGGATATTCGTCAAGAACTTGGCACAGTCATGATGAAACTCTCCGACGAATCGTTAAGAAAATGAAAGAAAAGAGTGTGGAAGATATGAAACATCTGGACCAGCTTATTAAAAGTGCATTAGTACAACTGAGTGTTACCGATTCTAAATTCCAAAAGCCATCCATTGTGCCTAATACATCAGGCGAGTCATCTCCGGAAGATTTGTCGGAAAGGGGGACAACTGTCGTGTGTGGAGCGATAGCAAGTATTAGCTGTTTCGACGATGACGAAAGTTTAAAAATGTCGTTCGCAAAATCAAACGAAATCAAAGCATTTGATAAGGATTTTGAAGCGGTGTTAGAATCCTTGGAGGGAAACAGGAACGAAAGCTATCTGATGATACGTGGGATCGCAGATTTTCAATATGGCGGCCGGAAGGAGTGGCAGCCGTACGCGTCGCTGGTGGCAGCTGCTTGTATGAAAACAATAATATCAGTCTTGAAATAAAGAACTGCTAAATAACTGCTATACCGTGCCAATGGTGCTTTAGAATACTTGGTGCTACAAATTACGTGTACCTAACTAGTAATATCAATTTTTTAAACCGCTGTTTAATATTGTGTCAAAGCCTTGCAAGAAACGAAACGCATCTCCCGAAACACATTGTACTTCGTATGAACCTGGACGGTAAAAAAACAGTTTCTCAATTCTTGTTCAGGGGACATACATACCTGTGGCAGGTAAATATACCTACCTGGAAGGTCTTATATTGAAACTTATAAAGTAGCTATAAGAGCTACACTCAATCATTGTTGCTGATATTTGTTTACATTTTCAGTGCCTTATCTAATATTCACAAAGTTGCTGATAATTTTGAGTGTAAACAGTTTGTATATTTCCTCGCATTATAGTAATGTTCTGTACAGATGTTAATGTACAATAGTACAAACTGTGTCTTATCTTTGATACCTATATCTGTAGCAATTTATTAATCCGTCTCTATGTTTCTGTTCTATTTGATGTGATATAATGTTTTGGTACATGTACATTAACTTTTTTTTATCACGTCTATTCGTCCGTAACTCGTAAACAATGTTTGTGTTTTGTATTCGTATGTAATTTCCTCTTGTAATTTTCTTTTTGTCTGTTTCGGCTGTTAAGTATCCACGCTTCAGTGATAACGATGTATCTTTTAATTGTTCCATTTTGATAAACCTCTACGGTATGTTTGTAAAGCCAACGATACATAGATAAAAGATATTTTCATACTGAAAGCGTTTCTTTTCTTACAACATCACTGCTTACCACTGATTTGTATGATGAACGTGCTAATTTTGAACTTTCTATTGTGAATTTTCCATTTCTTGATAGTGACACGTTCTTTCACAACATCCAATATTTGAATTTGGCATGTCTTTGTGCCATTCAAGAGCTAGTTTCAACAATCATCATTTCCGTAGTAGATGTTGGCAGTGGACGGGAAAACTACTATCGGCTTGTTTCCAGAGATATAGAATGAGGTAGATTTCAGAAAACTCCAGAAATGTGTCATGTTCATCACATGTCGCCACGGATAATAAGTACGTCTCTCCCATGAATCGACAATAGATATCTCGACTTGTTGTTCTTGTAATACGTTTCTGTATTTCTGTAAACTACAGATGGATGAAAACATAGCAACAGCTAAGTCTGTAACTCTAAATATACACGAAGATATTAAAGTTGAAGGAAAAGTGGTGAATAACATCACAGGCCAGAGTTTCCAGTCGCAATACACCGTGCTGAGGGGGTCAAAGGTCATGAATTTGCTACATTGCACTTTTCTTTTGTATGGCTGATATATACATCACATATCATAGTGTAAATGTAGGCAAACTAATGACCCGGACGCAGAATTTTATCAAACACCATTAGACTTACTGTACTAGGAGACCACACCATCAGACATGCTGTGGTAGACAACACCATCAGACCTGCGGTGGTAGACAACACCATCAGACCTGCTGTGGTAGACCACACCATCAGACATGCTGTGATAGGAGACCACAACATCAGACCTGCTGTGATAGGAGACCACACCATCAGACCTGTTGTGGTAGGAGACCACATCATCAGACCTACTGTGCCAGGAGACCACACCATCATACCTGCTGTGCTAGACCACACCATCAGACCAGCTGTTATAGACCACATCATCATACCTGCTGTGCCAGGAGACAACACCATCATACCTGCTGTGCCAGGAGACCACACCATCATACCTGCTGGTAGCCCATACCATCAGACCTGCTGTGCTAGGAGACTACACCATCAGACCTGCTGTGGTAGACCACATCATCAGACCAGCTTTGATAAACCACACCATCAGACCTACTGTGCTAAGAGACCACACCATCAGACCTATTGTGATAGGAGACCACACCATCAGACCTACTGTACTAGGAGAGCACACCATAAGACCTATTGTGATTCGAGGCCACATCATCAGACCTGCTGTGCTAGACCACACCATCAGACCTGCTGTGCTAGACCACACCATCAGACCTGCTGTGATAGGAGACCACACCATCAGACCTACTGTACTAGGAGACCACACCATCAGACCTACTGTACTAGGAGACCACATCATCATACCTGCTCTGCCAGGAGACCCGACCATCATACCTGCTGTGTTAGACCACAGAACACCATCAGACCTGCTGTGATAGGAGACCAAATCATCAGACCTACTGTACTAAGGAACCACACAATCAGACCTATTGTGATTGGAGACCACATCATCAGACCTGCTGTGCTAGACCACACCATCAGACCTGCTGTGATAGGAGACCACGCCGTCAGACCTACTGTACTAGGAGAGCACAACATCAGACCTGCTGTGTTAGACCACAGAACACAATCAGACCTGTTGTGCTAGGAGAGCACACCATCAGACCTACTGTGGTAGGAGACCACACCATCAGACCTACTGTACTCGGAGACCACACCACCAGACCTACTGTACTAGGAGAGCACACCATCAGAACTATTGTGATAGGGGACCACATCATCAGACCTGCTGTGCCAGGAGACCACACCATCAGACCTGCTGTGCTAGACCACACAATCAGACCTATTGTGATAGGAGACCACATCATCAGACCTCCTGTGCCAGGAAACCATACCATCAGACCTGCTGTGGTAGACCACATCATCAGACCAGCTTTGATAAACCACATCATCAGACTTGCTGCGCTAAGAGACAGCACCATCAGACCTGCTGTGTTAGACCACAGAACACAATCAGACCTACTGTGCTAAGAGACCACACCATCAGACCTGCTGTGCTAGATCACACCATCAGACCTGCTGTGATAGGTGACCACACCATCAGACCTACTGTACTAGGAGAGCACACCATAAGCCCTATTGTGATAGGAGACCACATCATCAAACCTACTGTGCCAGGAGACCACACCATCAGACCTGCTGTACTAGGAGACCACACCATCAGACCTATTGTGATAGGAGACCACACCATCAGACCTACTGTGTAAGACCACAGAACACAATCAGACCTACTGTACTAGGAGACCACACAATCAGACCTGCTGTACTAGGAGAGCATATCATCAGACCTGCTGTGCCAGGAGACCAAACCATCAGAACTGATGTGATAGGAGAGCATACCATCAGACCTATTGTGATAGGAGACCACACCATCAGAGCTGCTGTACCAGGAGACCACACCATCAGACCCGCTGTGATAGACCACACCATCAGACCCGCTGTGATAGGAGACCACACCATCATACCTGCTGTGATAGGAGACCACACCAACAGACCTATTGTACTAGGAGACCACACCATCATACCTGCTGTGTCAGGAGACCACACCATCAGACCTGCTGTGATAGGAGACCACACCATCAGACCTACTTTACTAGGAGACTACACCATCAGACCTACTTTACTAGGAGACCACACCATCAGACCTGATGTGATAGGAGACCACACTATCATACCTGCTGTGGTAGACCACACCGTCAGACCTACTTTACTAGGAGACCACACCATCAGACCTATTTTGATAGGAGACCACACCATCAGACCTGCTGTGGTAGACCACACCATCAGACCTGCTGTGATAGGAGACCACACCATCATACCTGCTGTGATAGGAGACCACACCATCATACCTGCTGTGATAGGAGACCACACCAACAGACCTACTGTACTAGGAGACCACACCATCATACCTGCTGTGCCAGGAGACCACACCATCAGACCTGCTGTGATAGGAGACCACACCATCAGACCTACTTTACTAGGAGACCACACTATCAGACCTACTTTACTAGGAGACCACACCATCAGACCTGATGTGATAGGAGACCACACCATCAGACCTGCTGTACTAGGAGACCACACCATCAGAACTGCTGTGATAGGAGAGCAAACCATCAGACCTATTGTGATAGGAGACCACACCATCAGAGCTGCTGTGCCAGGAGATCACACCATCAGACCTGCTGTGATAGGAGAGCACAATATCAGACCTATTGTGATAGGAGACCACATCATCAGACCTGCTGTGCCAGGAGACCACACCATCAGACCTGCTGTGCTAGACCACACCATCAGACCCGCTGTGATAGGAGACCACACCATCATACCTGCTGTGATAGGAGACCACACCAACAGACCTACTGTACTAGGAGACCACACCATCATACCTGCTGTGCCAGGAAACCACACCATCAGACCTGCTGTGATAGGAGACCACACCATCAGACCTACTTTACTAGGAGACCACACCATCAGACCTACTTTACTAGGAGACCACACCATCAGACTTATTTTGATAGGAGACCACACCATCAGACCTGCTGTGATAGGAGACCACACCATCATACCTGCTGTGATAGGAGACCACACTATCAGACCTGATGTGATAGGAGACCACACTATCAGACCTGTGATAGGAGACCACACTATCAGACCTGATGTGATAGGAGACCACACTATCAGACCTGCTGTGGTAACCCACACCATCAGACCTGCTGTGATAGGAGACCACACCATCATACCTGCTGTGCTAGGAGACCACACTATCAGACCTGCTATGATAGGAGACCACACTATCAGACCTGCTGTGATAGGAGACCACACCATCATACCTGCTGTGCTAGGAGACCACACTATCACACCTGCTGTGATAGGAGACCACACTATCAGACCTGCTGTGATAGGAGACCACACCATCAGACCTATTTTGATAGGAGACCACACCATCAGAGCTGCTGTGCCAGGAGACCACACCATCAGAACTGCTGTGATAGGAGAGCATACCATCAGACCTATTGTGATAGGAGACCACACCATCAGACCTGCTGTGATAGGAGAGCACAATATCAGACCTATTGTGATAGAAGACCACATCATCAGACCTGCTGTGCCAGGAGACCACACCATCAGACCTGCTGTGCTAGACCACACCATCAGACCCGCTGTGATAGGAGACCACACCATCATACCTGCTGTGATAGGAGACCACACCAACAGACCTACTGTACTAGGAGACCACACCATCATACCTGCTGTACCAGGAGACCACACCATCAGACCTGCTGTGATAGGAGACCACACCATCAGACCTACTTTACTAGGAGACCACACCATCAGACCTGCTCTACTAGGAGACCACACCATCAGACCTACTTTACTAGGAGACCACACCATCAGACCTGATGTGATAGGAGACCACACCATCAGACCTGCTGTGTTAGGAGACCACACCATCAGACCTGCTGTGATAGGAGACCACACCATCATACCTGCTGTGATAGGAGACCACACTATCAGACCTGATGTGATAGGAGACCACACTATCAGACCTGCTGTGATAGGAGACCACACTATCAGACCTGATGTGATAGGAGACCACACCATCAGACCTGCTGTGGTAGACCACACCATCAGACCTGCTGTGATAGGAGACCACACCATCATACCTGCTGTGCTAGGAGACCACACTATCAGACCTGCTGTGCTAGGAGACCACACCATCAGACCTGCTGTGATAGGAGACCACACCATCATACCTGCTGTGCTAGGAGACCACACTATCAGACCTGCTGTGATAGGAGACCACACTATCAGACCTGCTGTGATAGGAGACCACACCATCATACCTGCTGTGCTAGGAGACCACACTATCAGACCTGCTGTGATAGGAGACCACACCATCATACCTGCTGTGCTAGGAGACCACACTATCAGACCTGATGTGATA